GCCTATTGCGTGACCGAAGGGGTATCCACCGGTACAAATATTTTTAAAAAATTTAATTCGAAGGATCATAAATGTGCTGATTGGTTCGTGGGGCTAAATCAGCTTTGCAATCCACCACCGGGAGTTTTACCGATACAAAATTTAACCCATGTATAAATTGAAAAGCCAGAGTTTGCTTGTGTTGGTGAATGGTGACTAAGCGTGTTTTATATATTTTAATAACAATCATTGAAAAATTCAAAAGAAAAATATATATTTTATTTTTTTGTCATGATATGCTGAAAGTCAAAAATTAATATCCTCCAAATATATCAAAATTTATTTAAAAGATTAATTTTTTTTTAAAAAATGTTTTATACATACGACATAAAGACATTAATTAAGACCCAATCTCCTAATTAATTACCACTTACTTAAAGAGCATGTTATGTGCAAACTATGTTGTACTAAAAAATATATATATTATACTTAAAATTCACATTACATACATAAATACTTTATTTCTTCTTTTGTCCTCCTATTTGTGAAAAAGACATGATTTTATATTTTAATTTTATCAAAGCAAAGGATTGATTGGTTGACTAGAATCATAGCTAGGGATGGCAAAAATACCCGCACCCACGAGTATTTGCGAGTAAAATCCGCTACAGATAATAAATGGATAGGTTAATTGGATACCCGCGAATAATAGGGACGGATAATTTTTTACCCGTTTATAAATGAGGCGGGAGTGGGTATGATGATATTCATAACAGCGGGTACCCGTTTAATAATATTTCTTAAATATCATAATTATCCTTGTACCACATAACCCTAAAGCTACACTCTCTCATCTTTTTTTCTTACAAAAGTGAGGTTGATGAAGCTACCAACATGTGTTAAGCATGTTATAGAATTATGTTGGATGTAATTTGATTAATTTTCTATCTTTGATTGGACCAATAAAATTTATGTATTTTAAGTTGTTTACTTTCGTTTGAAATTATGAGATTGAATTATTGTAGCTTTGTAATGAGACTTTAACTTACTTGTGAGATTGATGTATTTTAAGTTATTGATTATCTTACATTTTTATTATTAATTTAACAATATTAATGTTAAATACAAGTTCAAAATTAACATTAAATTTTTTATTTTTAATATTTCAATGACAATAAATATAAACTTAAAATTATTTGTGATATAATTTTTTTTAATTTCTTAAAAAATTTATAAATATCCATGGATATCCATGGATATTCGCAGGTATTCAAGAAATTCATGGATACCCGTTTAATGGATACCCGCGCAGATATGAGATGAGTATGGGGCTAATTTTTATCTAGCAGGATAGGAGCGAATTTACTATTACCCGCCCCCATATTGCCATCCCTAATCATAGCCCATGGTTTTTTAAGTTCGATACAATAACAAAGGTTACAATCTTTAGCTAAATGTAAGCAAGGAATTAAAGAAATAGCAGCCATTGGTCTCCTTAAATTTTTGCGAGCCAATAGTTAATTATCCAAGAAATCCAAACACAGACCCTTTATAAACCCTTTCAAGAATCAACTACCGAAAACATTCCTTTAGCCTTTCTAATCCTGCTTAACATAGAGGGAGAACGATCAAGAAAGAAAAAAACTTGGTTCACTCTCCCTTTTCAAATTATTCAACATGGGAAACTGTGGTAGCAACCCCAAGACCAACGAGAGTCCTGAGTTGCCTGAGCCTCATGTGACTGAGGAGGATAAGGTTGAGCAAAAGGAGAATGTTGAGACCAACACAGAGGAAACTCCCAACTCCGATAACAAGTCCTTAGCCACCTTCCTCAACGAGGTACTCTATTTTAACTTCAAATTACCCTTTTGCTTTATTTAAAACACACTATTTTACTTTACAACTTTTAGTTTATTTTGAATTATTTATCATTTTAGAAAATTAAAAAAAAAACATTTCTTTCAGTTTTAAGGTTTTTCTATATAATGGGTGATTTAAAGTTATTGTCTAAGAAGAGGAAGGTTATAATAACATCGGTGTAACTTTTACTAAGTATTACACCTCTCAATAATTTTATATTAAATGTGAATTTTGTAAATCTAACTGTTATATTGAAAGTTCATATTACTTTATATGTTTATATCAAATTTTATTAAAATTGAATAACAACTTGAAAGTAATTAAAATGTTCATATTTTAGTATACTTTGAAATGAATATATTACATCAATTTTGTTTTATAAAAATGAAGTATCAAATCATCTTGGATTAATATAAAAAATTTTATATATGATCTAAGAGTAAAAAACTTTTTAATCTGACGGTTGAATTTATAAATTCATATTTAATATAAAGTTATTGAACGATGTAATATTATTAGTAAAAGTTACACCGGTGTTATTATAACCCTCCTCGTCTAAAGAAATATTTAATATAGTTTATTAATATTTTTGCTAATACAAAGTTTGTTTTTTTAAAATGATAATGGTTTTCATTTTAATTAAGTACCTTTTACTTTTCTTTTCTTTAACATTACCCTATAGATGTTCTTTAGAAATTTTCATAGTTTCTATCTTTGTCTCCTAGTATTTAATCAAATGCATTTAATTTTACTAAAATTAAGAGTATGTAATAGGTTAATTAATATTTGTTTAAAGCTAAAACAACAATTATTAATTCTTCCCCTTCAAAATAGTCATCGGTTTAAAAGTTTTGATTTGTTTCAAGTTGTTTGTTAATAAAAACTCTAAAGGACATTAATTATTAGTTAAGATTTTTTTATGTTGTCTTAATTTTTAACTAAGTAGAACTCAAAATAATTACTATCAATATAAGGTTATGTACCCCAAAAAAATTCATTTAAAATATTCTCAATATTTAAATTATATTTGATATTCAATGTAATCTTTTTAAAAAAAAAAAACTTTTCTGTTCTTCTGATTAATTTGTGTGGCTTAGAAACCCTTCACGAAAATTTTGTTATCTACCTTTTAATTTTTTTATAATTTAAACAGATAAGTTAGCACCTACATTTTTTTCTATATAATATAATTATAAAAAAAATCACTATTTCTTTTACTTATTCTTATTTTAAAATGTGTATATAGAAAACAATGAAAAGAATAAAAATGATGATTTACCTGTATATATATATATATATAAAATAAAGTAAAGATTAAGTGATATTTTATAATTATGAAGAAAAATAAAAATATTTTCTTGGCCTAAACGTGCTTTACCTGTTTATTATCATTGGCAGAGAGCAGAAGAGGCAGCGAAGGTAGAGGAAGTAAAGGGAGAAGCCAAGGCAGAAGAAGAGAAGCCCAAAGCAGAAGAAGCAAAGACTGAGGCCTAAAGCTATAATAATAACGTAGAGAGGCTTCTTATACTTCAAATATACAAATTTGTTGCTTTTGATCTCTTTATTTCTCCAAAATAACTTAAATAGATCTGTTCTGCAATTCGGCTGTGGATTTTGGATTTTCGCTTCTAAGTTTAATATGTACTTCTCTAATTTTTCTCAAGAATATTTTGATTCAACTGTTTTTTAAAGTTATTCTATAACTTCTAAAAATATAAAGATAATTAATTATGCTTTTATTAAAACATTTGTCTGATTATTGCAAGTTTGTATTTTATGTACTGTTGCTGCAACGATTTTTGATATCGTTAATTGATCAGAAATTATCTCAGATATTTTTTTTCGTAATTATGATAAGAGTTACAAAATTTGCCATATAATTTATAAATAAATAGTAACATAAAAAATATTTATTACTGTAATATTTTTTCGTTCAAAATGGCCATAATTTTTATATTTAAAAAAGTTGTAAAATAACTTATGCTCTCCATTTTTTAACAAAACTAGTATTTTAATCTATACAATGCATAAGTTAAATATTTGTTATATGTAATTAAAATTTATAGCAAATTATATATATATTATATTTAAATATATAAATTATATTTAAAATTTATATAAATAAGTATTTTTAAAATATAAATTATATTTTAGATATATGATAAATAGTTTGTATTATAGCACAAGATTTTTTTTATTGATAATTTATTTTAAAATATTAAAATTAAATTCATAAATAATTATCATTAATTAAAAATGAATTAGATAAGTTTAAAAAATTCTTAAAAATCCTCTCATCATAGAAAAACTTCTAAAAACACTCACGCAAAATAGTAGTTTGTATTTAATACATAGGGATTGAGTTAGAACATTAAAAAATATTAATTATTTTTTAAATTTTCATCCTTTTTCATTTTTCATTACATGAAATAAAAGAACAGTATTAAATTGAGTGAAAATATGTTTAAATAAAGTTTTGACATTTTAAAATATAATTTTTATTCTTTTAAATAAGATTTTATGAAATTTCTAATTTGTAGTTAGGTTTTTGTATTCTTAAATAAAACAATATATATGTATTAAAAGCTATTTGAATTATTTATTAAATACTTTTTAATATACAATGATATTATTGAATTCTGTATAAATAAATTGTTTTTTATCTTTTAAAAGTATTATTGAAAAATATATATGTTTTCAAATATTTTTTCTTTTGTAATTAATACTTAAATTATTTAATTAATATTTTATATAATAAAATATTTTTAAAACATCATTTAAATTAATTTTGTTAATTTAATTTAAATAGTTGTCAATTTTTTTTAATATACTCATTACATAAAATAAAAGAATGCTATTGAATTGAGTAAATAATATAAAATAAGTTGTTATTTAAAATATTTTTAATGTTTATTTTTTAAAATTTAGTTTATATTTTATATTATTTTAATATTAAGTTTTTATATTTAATTACAAAAATATATTTATTAAATACTTTTTATATTATTTATTAACACTATTATCTGTTTAAAATGAATTAATTTTTATCTCCTGAAAATTTTATTTAGAAATACTATCAATTTTTTTATAAATATTTTATCTATTGTAAATAATTCTTGAATTGACATTGTTAATGTTTTATGTAAACATCTATAAATGATTTTTAAAATTATTTTTTACTAATTAGAACAATTTATGACATTTATAAAATTTAAATTTTTAAATATATATGTTTTAATACTTTCATGTTTTTTGTTATCATTAAAATAAATTTATGTTGATTGAATTAATTTTATATATTTGTATCCAAAAATTAATTTTACATAATATTTGTTTTTATTTTATCAATATATTTTTCTACCAAGTGAGCCAATTAATTTTTAAAAAATTAGTGAACAGCTTTCACGTTAAAAGTATCTTTAAAACTATAAAAACAGAAAATTACCAGACAACTTCTACTTTATTTTTGAAGCTCTTATTTTGAGCTTTAACATTAATGTAGCTTTTATGCTAAAAAGAAAGCTGGGCCAAATATAACCTAAATGTTTGTATCCTGATATGCTTTTATTTTGTTCTCCTGCCAGAGTTATGCATGCAATCTATTTAAATTTTAACAGGATTTTAGGAGTTTGAAGCAGGAAATTATATAATACTGATACTGCTGAAGCCAGTTTTGCCTTCCAATTGTTGAACTTACAAAACCCTGCCTCTTTTGTTGTTATGGGATTGTCTTTGATTTATTCATTGTTGATGGGAGCTTAGATACTTTAGGGAATAACATGAGTATCCTTGAACTATATTTTGAAGGGTAGCTCAGCAGCTTCATCTGAGTGTTAATGGTATGGAGTATGGACTTTGGAGAGTAACATTTTTTTGTTCAAATTGAAATATTTTTCTCATAATCTGAATGTTTATTGTTGTTATATTCACATCTGTTCTGGTACAATGGGTGGATGAATGGATTTTGTACTTGGAAAAATTAGCCCTCTTTTGATTGTTGGAGCTTTTTTCCTCTGTACTTGACGTCTCATTTTTATGCATATGCAGAACCGCTTGCTTGCAATGAATTACATAGAGGAAGGACACGATGACACACTTTTTGAGGTTCACAGGTTGCAACTTTCTCTGATGAACTTCTTTTATACTTAAATTTTGAACACTGGTGTGTTTAATCAACTTCATTGATTTTTCATAAATGTTCAGTGACAATTATTTATTTCCTCAGGTGATGAAAAATTATTTTTATTGTCTGATGACTGCATAGTTTGTAACATTATAATAGCAGGGCTCTAGTGCTTATAATTATGATAGAAGCATGAAAGACTAATGAGTAAGATGCTGTTCTGGATATATTCTGTTAGAAGAGAAAAGCAAGAATATAAAGTCAGACCTTGATTAAGTTTTGAAGGCCAAAACAATTCTTGTTTTAAATTTTAAACATAGTGATCAATTTTATGGCATGCATTGTTAAGATGGAATATTTTCTTGTTATCAACTTCTAAACTCAAAATTACTTTGTTGGCAAAAAATTGAAGAAAATGCTTTGCTGAAGTTGAATGCACTGTTTGGGACATTTGTTGGGATCTCTTACACAAGTCAATGTGTGGTAAATTGTATCCTGCAGCTTCTTAAATGTCTATTTATACTGAAGGAAGCTGCTAGTATGATATGAAGAGTAGCATGATAGGATAATGTATCTGAGTTCTGAATTCTAATTTGTCATTTTATGTAGAATATAAACCTTTATTAATATTTATTATATGTTTCTTTATGTTGAATTTGGTAGTAATGCTCCCTATGTGATCTATCTGCTGTATGGTTTTAACGAAGGACAATTTCAAATTTTCAGTTACCAATTCATCATTATCATTTACAGTTCCCCTGTAGCAATTTACTTTATGTGCGAAAATAGGATATCTTATATAGAAATTATAAAAAGTCAAGTGTTTCCATGCAGGGACTGGGGTAGGCGATTCATGAGACTATATCCACAGTACACATCATGGGACAACTCAAAAGATCCTGATCGACCCCTTGTGATAGGCTATGTATCTCCTGATTATTTTACTCATTCTGTGTCATATTTTATTGAAGCACCCCTTGTCTATCATGACTCCTCCAAATTCAAAGTTATTGTTTATTCAGCAGTTGTCAAGGTATCAATTGTGAACACTCATGTGCAAATTGCAGTATAAACTATATTAATGCATTTTGTCAATATTGAAAGCTTCTGCCTTGTGTTTGATTGTTGCTCTATGCTATTGACATAACATATTTACTCATATTCTCATAAAATTCTAACATTAATTCAGCTCTGTTCCCAGCTAAGAAGTTAAAAAAGTTATAGTTGATTGCCTTTCAAAGATTTTGTATGTTTTGCATATTTGTGCATGTTTCACCTCCTTTAATATTAGAGATGTACAACAAATATTGGAAGAACTTGTTTTTTCTTCTCATTGACCAACAATTTTTTGTTCTGGGTGACCTCTAAGAATATTAGGAGGAGAACGATTCTCAATCTATGGTCTGGAAGATAGAAATACATTGCAAAAATTTTATTTCCTGGTTCAGTTAGTTTCACGTACTTTGTTAGTCCTGTTTTGTGATAGTTAAAACTGTGATGAATGAATTGATAATTTTATATTAAAAAATATTTGGTTTAAGTTTCATTCCCCATTCTTTTTTTTTTTGCCAATCATAATTGATTTGTTAGGTTATACAGTGCTAAAATATTTATAATTTTAACTGAGCAAAGATTTGTTGAGCAACAAGTGTCTGATATAAAAGCTGCTTCCAAATTGAAACGTAAAATGTAAGCTTGAAACTTGATTTTTGATATTTCACACAAAAAACACTGCTCCTCTGGTTTCTGTGTTTCAATTATTATTGATTTGTTTGGTAATATACAATATTCAAAATTTAACTGAGCAAAGATTTCTTAAGGTACAAGAGTCTGATATATTGGATATGTGAAGCCATGTACAGTGTGGGATGGGGGAATCTAATTTTGGTATGGCACAGAGCATGTTAAAAACAATACACTATATTGTTGGTTGGAGGAATATGTTTTCACTAAACTGGTGCAAGAAAATCTGCACATTTGTGGGAACTTATCCCCCCCAATTCCCACCTGTATTGGTTTTTTACGCCCAAGACTAATTATTAGTTGCTTTTCAACTTTTATCCATCATCTATTCAAGTTGTTTTTCAATTTTTCATTCGTTATTGTGAATTATATGCTAAACAAGGACTTGCTGTGTCAATTATAGTGGCATATGGCTCCTCTAGGTTAGCCGGTGGGAACGTTTCCAGCCTGGATTAATCAGTGTGAATGTGCTTCAATACATATATACTAGTCCAAATCTTCTTCTTTTTCCTTTGCTGTCTTTATTGTTTATAATCTTACCATTTTCTTCTTTTGGTTGGAGTTTGCTCTTAGATTGCTTTTGATACTCTTTTTTCAGTTTAGTTTAGTTTGACCAAAGTTTCATCAGGGTTTGTTGATGTTGATAATTTTGTCTTTTAAGTATGACTTAACAGTTACTTTTGGGGGAAACACTAATAAAATTCTATGGAATTGTTAACAAAAATTTACCAAACAACCAATTATCAAAAAACATTTTAAACTGGCTCAGCACTAGTGGCTAGCCGGATGGACGTTCTGACTTTGGTTACATTAACATAATTTACATATATATCGAATTTATAATAGCATAGATTTCATTAGTGTTAACATTCTTTGTTTCCTTATTTTTTCTTATCTTTTTCCATATAATTTAGAATTGATTTTCCTGTTATATTTGCAGGTAGATGCAAAAACAATGAGATTTAGAGAGAAAGTTTTAAGGAAGGGTGGTATCTGGAAAGATATTTATGGAATTGATGAAAAGAAGGTTGCCAACATGGTTAGAGAAGATGAAGTTGATATTTTGGTAGAACTTACTGGTCATACTGCAAACAATAAATTGGGAATGATGGCATGTCGACCTGCACCAGTTCAGGTGTGTTTAGTTTAGACTTCAGCATATTTATATATAAATTTGATCCCTTTGTTTATCAGCTTATAACTCTTTTATCCTTGTTTACTATATTCTTTTCTTCATGTTTTCCTTCCAACCTTTAGTAGGATGTTATTGTGAAGCTCAGAATTTGTATGCTGCAGTGTGATTGTTAACTTGTCATTTCTCATTTCGCTCATGTTGCAAATTAATGATTTTCATTTTTTCAGATTGAATGGTTAAGAGCAATGTTTAGCCAGTAGCAACCAGTCAATTTATTTTCCTTAGATGTGCTAATGTTTAACTTATTGTGGGCTGCTAGGCCCGAATCCTTAACATGTCCTTATCTACATACATGCTAACATCCACACACACATCAAGTAAATTAAATTTGAACCTCCACCTAGTATATGCCTTTCATCTCTGCCTTTTGTTTCAATGCTACATATAATGATCTCAATGTATGTATGAAGTACTAAATTATCAAGCTTGTGATTATGAAGTGGTATGTATTTATGTAACTTTCATAACAACATTCATTATGCTATCATTTAATGCTTTGTATATTTATTTGATCTTTGCAAAATTGTGACTTGTGTTGCTCGGCATGCAGGTGACTTGGATTGGTTATCCCAATACAACAGGATTACCTACAATTGATTATAGAATTACTGATTCACTGGCAGACCCTCCTGAAACAAAGCAGAAGTAGATCTCTTCAAGAACTTCTGTACTTTCTTGTCATTGACCTATACTGGAACACTTTTATATAACTCTTATTATAGGCTATTTTCTTATGGTACTTTTCTTAAATTGCAGGCATGTTGAGGAGTTAGTTAGATTACCAGAATGCTTCCTTTGTTACACCCCTTCCCCTGAGGCTGGTCCTGTTTGTCCTACTCCTGCTCTTTCCAATGGCTTCATCACATTTGGTAGTTTCAACAATCTTGCCAAGGTATCAATTATGTTGAATATGTTATGTATTTTGTCTTTTGTTTACCAAGAACAAACTGTAAAAGATAAGTCATATATCTCCTGATGCATGTGCTTTCATTTCATCAGATTACACCAAAGGTATTGCAGGTTTGGGCAAGGATACTACGTGCAATTCCGAATTCCCGCCTTGTGGTAAAATGTAAACCATTTTGCTGTGACAGTGTGCGACAGAGATTCCTTTCAACACTAGAGAAGTTAGGTTTAGAACCATTACGTGTTGATCTTCTGCCCCTTATTCTTCTTAACCATGATCATATGCAAGCCTATTCTCTGATGGACATCAGGTAGTCTCTCTTTTTTGCATTCCTTGAGTGTTTTATGGTCCTGCTTAAACTCAGATTTTCTTAGGTGTACATTTTTTATGTGTTGATTGCATGTCTTGTTTTTAATTAGTAGCATTTTGATATGTATATAAAAATAAGAAAAGAATGTTAATTAGGATTTTGTGGTTGCTGGGTAAAGCTGCCTATGAATAAAGCATGAGTGCATGACTGTTGTATTTAGATGGACAGAATGATAACAGAAGCGCAATGCACAGTTTCTTTGATCTCTCTGTTTCTCTCCTCTCTCTCTCTATTCTCTCTATAATGTTCCACTTCCCTTTTCCCCTTTCTTTCTTTCTCTTTGCCACCTAAATACTTTATCAGTGGTATCAGAGCTTGGTTGTGCATGACCACTAGACCAGAATCTTTTCATCCATGGGCATAGAAACAAGATTGCAGGTGATATTGCGTTATATGGAAGAACGGTTCTTTCAAATTGAGCAGAGGCTTGTGAAGGTCGATACACTATCAAACATGGTGGATGGCATTTCTAATCTGCTTTGGCTGTTAATACACAAAAAGGACGATGCCTTGAACAATCTTGGATGCTATTGCAGAGAAGGGCATCATTTTACTCGCCATCTTGAAGATTACTCTCAAGATTTGGTGCTCCTGTGACAGCATGGCACCTTCACAGAATTTAATGATGAATTTGATGCTATTTCCTGCAAATTTTGCTTGTCTGAAAGATTCCTTGTTGATGGTTATACGGCTGGTCTGCAGGAGGAATATGTTAGCCAAGTTTGTTTATTCAAGCCAAGAATCATGAGACAATCTTGCAGCTTAGCATGTCTACAAGAAATTAAACTGCAACGACATGCTAAGAGGAAAACGTTGACCAAGAATACGAGTTGCATGACTACTTGCAATGCTAACATAGTAGCAACTACACAAGATAAGTTGAATTCTAGCAATAATGCATTAGTGGGAATTGGGTCCCAGTCAAAGAGTAATCAGTTGTTGGGATAGACAAGAATGCTCCTTTTGCCTCCAAGAATTCTTTGAAAACAAAAATCTTTAACTGCAGAAGAAGCAGCCAAACACAAAACCCTAAATCTTCGTTTTTACTTCCATGGAAAGGATACTAATTCGGTCATCATTGATTGTATGAGCAAGTATGCCAACTTTGTGGTCATTTCGTATCTACAAACAGCAACCACACTTGCTCAACACTGGCATGGTTCAGATCTACAGTTACATGGAGCACTAGTTGAGAAAATTAGTCATAGAGATCCTGTTTTTGTGAGTGACTTTTAGAAAGCATAAAAAACTTTTGGAATTTTACCATCCTGTTTGAAGTACAAGATCCTTGAGGGCAAGGGTCTTCTTTTGGGAGAGGGGTATTGATATGTAAATATAAATGAGAGAAGAATAGTAGTTAGTTAATTAGTCAACAACTGTTAGTTGGGATTGTATGGTTCTTTCAGTAGCTGCCTATAAATAAAGCATGGTTGTATTTAGACAGACTGAATGATATATCCTCTCTGTTTCTTTGATCTCTCTGTCTCTCTGTTGCTCTTCTCTTTCTATATATCCTCTCTATTCTGTTCTTCCCTTAACCCCTTTCTTTCCATGGCTTTCTGATTCTTTTCTTTCCCACATAAATTCTATATCACATTTCCATTTTTCCTGGTTTTCTTAGTATTTTTAAACCTCTTCAATCTCCCTCTTTTTGTCCATCTTGATGTTTCTTCTGATTCTTATTGCTGGCAGTGTGTTGAATTTGTTTATCTAGAAGTTAGATATGGCTAAAATTCAGATAATGTGCCTTTATTGGACACCTGAATGAGTGGCTTGACTAAGCACGTGTCATCATTTAAATTAAGAACTTACAATTTTTTTTTTTGCTTTGTGAAATTATTTTAACCACGATTCTCATGCTAATCACAGTATGGGCACTTAAATTATCAGACATATATTAGGAATGGTTTTTGAAAAATTAAAGACTTCAGTGTTTACCTTTTATTGTTATAGTTTATCTATGTATGTTGTATGGGTTGTGGCTATGCCATAATGTGATAGCATCATTTGAATATATCTAGCTTCTAGCAAGAGTACCAGTGAAGCTTCTGTTCACAAATGCAGATTACAAGGGTATCTGTTGGTTACATGGTTGTTCTTCTAGCCTATTTAAATTGCATTAATATAAGCTTTTTAATGTATGTTAGAAACATTATTTATTTATTTATTTATTTGTATGTTAAATGGATAATTGAGAAACTAGCAATTTCATTTAGCTTATGCATGACTTTTTTATCATAGGTTTTCTACATGCAGTGGGTTTAATTTATGTATGTTGTTTTATGTAGTTTGGATACATTTCCATACGCGGGAACAACAACAACATGTGAATCTTTATACATGGGAGTTCCATGTGTCACTATGGCTGGTTCAGTACATGCGCACAATGTTGGTGTTAGTCTTCTTAGCACTGTTGGTAAGAAACTCTTCATACAATTTGTTTATTATCAATTTATGCACATTCTTTTACATCTTCAGGTTTTTGTACTAATCATTCCAAATTTCTAATTCATCTTTGCAATGCCAATTAATTATGCAGATTTGTTGGATTACGATTTTTATTTTGATTTCTTTATGTTTTGAATTATGATCAACTAGAGATGGGGAACAAAATGGAAAACAAGTCCGAGAGTACTCCCCTTGGCAGGGTACCTTAATGATAAACTAAGTACTCCTTTAGGACGGAGGGCTTTTCTGACTCAAATGACAAATATTTCCTGAATAGGAAATCAATATTATTCAATAGCGGAATAGTCAAAGCTGGTCAAGGTTTATAGGTCTATATGTAGATTATTTTTTTTCATAAAATTTAAAAAAGGTAAATTCTCTCCAAATCTAAAAGATAATGCAAAATCCGTAATTATTTTTTTGACTTAAAAATCTACTTTAAATCTCAAAATAAGAGCTTTAAAAGTAAAATATAAGCTATTTGACAGTTTTCATTCCTTTTGCTTAAGAGATGACCTGGAAAAGAGCGGGAATGTGAGAGAGAGAGAGAGACAATAGACCAGAGAGTAGAGAAACCAATTTTTTTCTTCTTCTGAAAGTAACTTTAAAAAGCTACTTTTTCCTGTTCTTTTATAATTGTATAAGCTTTTTTGAAAATGTGTAGGAGAAGAGGAACTCAACAAAAAGTAAAATCATGTCAAACACTACCTAAATACAAAATAATCCTAAATTAAAAAATCCCAATGATGAAATCAACGTCCCTAAATAATATCCAACCAGATAGCAGTTCAATCTACGTATAAATAAAATATTCTATGTTGCTGAACTCTACTTTTTACTAGATCTTTCCCGGTTGCAAATAGCTTCAGAGTTCAAATGTCTCCTCTATTACCTTTTAAGTGGACTTGTGTTTGCTTCTCTTGGTGCCTGCATTTTTTTTCAGTTGATCAGCACGTGATTTTTTTTTTCTAAATGTTTTTCATTGGGAGAGTATTGGTTATGCAGTCAATCTGCTAAATAGTTTGTAGTTGTACTTTTCAAAGCATCATATTCTTTTGCATTTTTGGCTTCACGAGTAAAACTGTTAAATATTTCACTTATTACAATCCAGGACTGGAGCATTTAATTGCCAGAAATGAAGATGAATACGTTGAATTGGCTCAGCAGTTGGCCTCCGACATTTCCGCACTACATAATTTGAGAATGAGTCTGCGAGATATCATGTCCAAATCCCCTCTCTGTGATGGTGCAAAATTTATCCTAGGTCTAGAGTCAACATACAGAAATATGTGGCACAGGTATTGTAGAGGAGATGTTCCATCTTTGAAACGCATGGAATTGTTACAAGAAGTTGCTTCTGGTGACCTGTCAGATAAGAATCCTGAGTCAACAGGGATCGTAAACTCAACAGAGGGCAGTTCTGGTTCTGTCAAGGCCAATGGATTTAATACAATGCCTGTGTCAAAGCTCAACATACAGAGTTGCGAAGAAAACGGTGGGTCATTGAATCACAGTAGTAAACAAGGAAAGACGAGTTAATGTTAAATTTCATCCGAGAATCCTTTTGTAGCGATTCTAGGATGCTGAACTCCATTACAATAGTTGTACTATTAGGTTGCGTGGTGTGTACTGTGGTTGCTGCTGGAAGCAATGACAGCATCCCACTAAGTTAACTTGCATAGAGTAACATTGGGGGCGGGGGCTATAGGCAGTTAGTTATAAAACCCCCTTGGTCTTGAGTGGTGCATTGGATATGCAAAAAGGTGAAGCTACCTTGAGCTGCAGTTTGTTACACATTTCTTCGGCAATGTTTTGGAAGTCGTTGCCTCTTGCATATTTTCCCCCTCGATTATAATAGTTGCGTATAGCTTGTCCAATTTGTTTTATCGGTTTAACGTGCAGTACCTCCGCATGAAGATCAGGAATGGGTAAGTTTAAGATTGCCGGGTTTAATGTACCCAAAAACATGTTTGCGTGACTTGGATAAACTAACACCCTGATGATAATATCACTGTTCAAGATTAACTAAAGTTCTAATGAAACCACTAACATGAATAATGTGATATTATATTCACTTGCAATATCTTATAATTTTTTCAATACTTAATTATGAAGACTTCAAATATAAAATTGAACAAATTTAAAGTAAAAACAAAATATTTAATTATCTTATATATTGAAAATATTTAATATTTTCTTTATTTAATAATGATTAATGGGAAAAAAATTGTATGCAGATTTAGAATTATTTCTATTTAAGATAATGATGCATCAATTTTGAGTTGAGGTATGCAGCGTGGCTGAGATCTGGCTTGTTTGTATAGACGTTTAGCCATCTATTCCACATTTTCTGAAGAACCAAACGAGAAAGAAAATATTTGGTATGTTCAATGGTGTATTCGTTTAAGTTTTATTCGGCTGTAAGAGCATCTTCAACAAAGATATTTATAAAAAAAATGTTTTTATTATATTTTTAGTAATATTTCACGCTTTTTTATGACGTAATATCATCTTTCAAATTGTAAGTAACTTGTTCAAAATGAATTCTTTTTATCAAGAAATTCATATTACTTTTTAAAGAACATGTAAATAGATGAGAGAAATTAAGTGGATTACTATTTAAAAAATGTTATCAAAATACATTATATTAAAAAAAATCGATAATGTTATTTAACGGTACGGTTTTTTATGTCTATAAAAATCATCTAATTCCTAGTTTTGTTGGAGCATATTTTAGTGCTTGTAGTTAGAAAATATGCATTGTATAATAAATGTGATTTTTTTTTGTATACATTTTTTTTAATAATTTTAACTCTTTAAAAAATTGTACAATTATAACTAATAAAAGTCAGAAAAGATTTTTAATATATAAGTTTTTTAAGTCTTTCCATAACCGCTCACTACTTCCATTAACACACCTTTTACCTATTAGAGTATTTCTAATGGGAGTTGCTTATAAGCAACCCCCTCTGCCATGTCACATCAGTCTTTTTTATTTTATGGGTTGTTTAAATTTTAGCACCGGAGCTTTTACAAGTAATTTTACTAAAATTTAAGCAACTCATAAAATAGAAAAGAGCTGATGTGGCATGATGTGGCACACCCCACTACTGATGCTCTTAGCAATATCATAAATATATTATTGACATGCAACTTAAGTCGGTTATATCATGTTACCACTTAATTTTTTTTATTTGACATTTTAACAATATAAAAAACCCATATTTTAATGAAATCAAGGGTTAAATAAAAAGTAAAACTGTTAAAGATTCAAAGCTTGTCTTTAACAATGAAGTAGAAAAAGAAAAATATTCATTTTGTTTAATCAAGCAAAAATTAGACAGAATTTCTAGTGCATAAAAATACAATTGTCTTCGGCTACATGGAAAAATTAGACAGAATTAATAATCTCAACGCTACATGGAAAAATATAGTCTTGAAAAAAAAAATTACATTGTCTTAGGCTAATAGGTAACTAGTGCATAAAAATACAATTGTCAGTTCTGAAAATTCATCATGAAGCAAAATAAGTCGTGACATTTCCCATCACAGCACAGCCATGCTATTCATCAATGCCTTTTTGTTTGGTTTGATCCATTACTAATCCTTGACCGAGGTACGTAGTATCTTCACGTCATGAATGGGCCTGAATAAATAGAAAATGAAGAAATGCTTGAATTATTTTTCTGTTTAAGTTCATAAACTAAGATCATATAAAGTCCTTAAACATGTTGATCAAAGGATGCTCTTCACAAAATTCTATGTTTCATGGAAGCCTCTTGCTCTTAATTCATAGACCCTATTAGATTCCCATTGGCCATAAACTTCCCTGTAATAAAGTATTTTCAGAAATACCAAGAAATCAAGTTATATGCATGAAGATTAAAAACAAAACTGTTCCCAATGAAAATAAAAATTATATCTTTCTCCAGGACATCCAATTATCATCATGAGTCTATGAGATTGTAGGCAAGATTGTTGGTTTATGTAGTATATATTTTGAATAGTTTATCTTGAAAGATATTTGACATACCTGTCGTTGTTATCTGTTTGGACGCTGCCAAGTCTTTTGATAATTTCCATCCCCCTACATACTCTTCCAAATATTGTGTGTTTTCCTGGTGGAAACAGAAACAGGAATTGAGTATCATTAGGCATTCCAGACATTTCATGTATTGAATTAGTATAATAAATCATAGACTAAACAACCTAACTGAATCAGTTAACCATTCTGATGCCAAAGTCAATGTTATGGCTAAATATTTACTTGAGTCAACTCTAGTAATTGATGAAAATATCAATCAGTAGAACTGCAGGTTTATATTATAAAACACAAACAGATTTTAAAAGAGAAAGAGTCCCTTTTGTTTTAAGCCTTCTTAGCGATTTAGTCCAGGAAACTATTGAAAGAGGAAGAAAAAACATGCAGTTAGATGAGGAAATAAGCTAATTATATGCTTGCATCTGTATCATCCCAGAAAAGGAGAAACATAAGAAACATAAACAAGAAGCTTTCCATATAGACTGGTCTTTTGACACATCTGTGCTTCATAGTTCATTTGATAAGCAAGTAACAGGCTGTAAGGTGCTAGTATATCATTTTGCTAATTGCTAATACCCTGTGCTATTAGTATCATCACTTGATCATTTATTCTCTTTGTCTCCAGTACAGATTTCATTGCATAATCATAAATCAGTCATACTGAAACAATTTTTTACACAATATGGTGAATTGGTGATTTATTGATTATGAGGATCAATCTCTCGGGCAAACGTCAAAAAGAAATCGGGGTGGGGGGGTGGCTGGGGACGGAATGCGGTTACAAATCCAATTTTCATTTCATAATTCTCCATTGAGAAAGAGATGATACTTCATTATCCTGAGTTTCCAAGTGCATGTGCATAACGGTTTGTGTTCAATGTTGATGAAGCAGTACTTGTTTACGCTTATCATTTAAACTACATAGGGCAGTTCATGTTTAATTTTCAATTTACCAGAGATTGAAAAAACAAGGGATAGCCTTTGAATTGAAGCTCTTCAAATACAAGTGGGTCACACGGTGCAGAACAAAATTATCAACGAACATCCACAACCACAAGTAATTATGATATTTAATAGTAGAGGCTTATCATCTCTAAATTCTAAACAGTAAGAAGCAGAATATTACCGTCGAGAGAGGGGCATGGTGCCAGTGTAATGAAGAACTGACTACCATTGGTATTTGGGCCAGCATTCGCCATGGATAAGATACCAGCTCCAGTGTGTTTCAACTCTCGTTTAATCTCATCTTCAAACTTTGCACTGTCATAAACATAATAGCACGAGCAAGAACAAAGCCACAAATCATCATCATCATTCATCAACAATTCAATGATAACAAAATCAAACCATTCATTTGTTCCATATAATTGTCCCCATTTCAAGTTCTAGTCTCTACAAAAAAAAAAAAATCTAAGTTTTAAAATGAATAGTGTAACCTAATAATAACAATAATCAAAACTCAAAAGCTTTAGCATGATACCCGTATATGGATTCTCCTCCCCTTCCTGTTCCAGTAGGATCCCCTCCTTGTACTATGAAATCCTGCTCAACAAACCACACAAACCTATGTAAGAACATAAGTTCCAAACAGAGGGTTCACACGTGACAGTTGACACCATATAAACAACAACGAAGAAAACGAACATAATTACCTTAATGATCCTGTGGAATTTAACGTTGTCGTAGTAACCTCTGCGAGACAGTTCAATGAAGTTCCTGCAAGTCCTCGGCGTATGCTTGTAGTACAGCTAAACCCAAAATTACACAAATTTATTTATTTATTTTAAAAGAAAAGAAAAATTAAAACCTTAGACTAAGAGAAAATTGGGGAAAAGAAAAGTGGAAGTACCTCAACGGTGAAGGAACCCATGGAAGTTTCGAGAGTAACCTCCGGAGCACCACCCTCTGCGCTTGCCCACATTTTTTTGCTCACACACCAAACACACTTCCACGCTCATGAACCAAATAAAACCCGTTACATTGGGCCGGGCCGGGTCGGACCGGGCCTTCCGCATAACGGGCTTGGACATGGAAAATGGAAAATATATGTTTTCCTTTTCCATCTCATTTGAATTTTGGAATGTAAGCTATGCCGGAGATTCTGGACGGTGCAATTCGACGAGCCGTTGTAATCGGAAACGGCTTCGCCGGCGCTGAAAATCAGTGTATTGGTTTGGTTCGTGCTCTCGGTTTCTCCAACCGCCACTTCTTATTCGTAAGCACTTTTTTTTTCCTTCTTCTTCATTTATTATTATACATGAAATATAGCTATTCAATTGAATTGATTTTTTTTTCCTTTTTAGCGCGTGACGCGGCCTCGAGGAGGAATCAATAGGTGGCTTCAATGGCTTCCGGTTTCAATCCACAAAAAGTTAGACTCCATTATCAGAATAATCTGCGGCAAATCGCGCTTTCAAACGCCTCACAAGATCGGTAACTAACGCCGTTTCCCTTTCGCGCTGTGTAATTGTTGAGAATCGCAGTGCAATGATGATGGTTCCGTTTAGGGTTATCTAACGTGTTGGAAGCTGATGCTCGCCACATTGCGATGATGGCTCGTGAAACGTTTCACAAGTATGCTGTCTTGTGATTGTTCTCGTTTCGTTATTATTCTGTGGGAAAAAAAAAAAGGATGAGTTTAATGAAATGCGGTATCGCTTTGTCCGTAGGGATGGACCATTGTTGGTGGTTGCATCTGGACGAGACACCATTTCTGTTGCCAGCTCCATTAAACGGTTAGCTCCAGAAAATGTTTTTCTTGTCCAGGTTATACTTTTCACTTATTCTTTATTGTCCCTTGAAGCTTATGTAACTTCGTGCAAATGTGATGATTCACTTTTATTGAAGTACTTTTTTGTCATAGCTATAGCTGCATTATGTATGTTGCTGTCTAACTCTCTTAGATGCCCAACTCAGATACAACATCCAAGATTTCACCTGAATAGGTTTGATCTTGTGATTACTCCACGTCATGATTATTACCCACTGACTCCTCACGCCCAGCGGCAAATACCTTGGTTTCTTCGAAGGTGGGTGACTCCATGGGAACCCCCAGGCCGCAATGTGGTAGGTACAGTGGTTGCGTGGTGGCTATTGATGCCTCTGCGTAAGATAAACAAGTTATGGTTGTCATGTTTAAGCTGAAATATTCTATTTTTTGTCCTTTCTTGAAGGTCACTGATTTTACATTATTACAGGCACTCACTGTGGGAGCGCTTCATCAAGCTGATTCCAATGCTCTTAGGGCTGCTGCTTCTGCCTGGCATGATGAGTTAGCAACTCTGCCAAAGCCCTTGCTTGTCGTTAATGTTGGGGGACCTTCTGGTATTTTATTTTGCCAAAGCCCTTCCCATTATATTGTTTAAAATTTTATTGTGTTAATTATGATTTGCTGTTATTTGATATATGTGAAAAAATGGTTTGATATATGCTCACGCACCTGGGGGTTGTATAAACTATAAACTTTATCTTGAAAGGTTGAAAATATGTGTTTGGCTGGCTGGGCTCAAAATTCTGTCAGTTGTGAAGACTCTTTGAAATGATTCTAACCTGATATTTAATAGAAGAAAGAAATTGCATGCCCTAAATCCAATGTTTGGCTCCCTTTAAACATTCAAAATTTTGTATTGTACATACATGGCATAGTTGAAAGATTAACAGAGTGTAGTTGGTCAATTTTTTTTTTTCATATATCATTCTCGCTTGTTTGAAGCCTTAAAGAAGTCGAGTTGAAAATTAAAACTTTCAAATGCTTGTATGCTTTACACCCAATCTTTTCTTTAAATGTTTAACTCCACACATTCATTACCTTTGGTTATATATGGAATATATATTAGATGCAAAGTTTCTTTTTCAAGTCTTTTGTCATCTGCATTAGTGCATTATATCTTCTTGATCTCAAGTCTTCATTTATTTTTTTGGGGTGTCTGTGTCAGGCAATTGTCCTTATGGTGTGGATCTTGCAAATAAGTTAGTGGTTATGCTTCAGAATGTTCTATGGAGCTGTGGGAGTATCAGGATATCTTTCTCCAGAAGAACTCCTGAGAAGGTATAAAAGGTCATGCAATTAGTAGCCATTGGTCTGATTAGGTGTCGGCAAGTATAAATGATGTTGCCTAGGGGATAGTGACCTCAGTTTAGGTATCCTTTATAACTTTCTTTTTCTGTTTCAATAAATTCGTAACATCCATTGTTATTTGTAGATCTCTAAAATTTTGGTCAAAGCATTTGCAACAAATCCCAAGGTTCAAATATGGGATGGTGAAGGTACTTAGTTTCCATATTCTTAAGAGAATAAATTTATACTGATCAGTCCTGGTACCGGAGATTACTGGATGTATTTTTTTTTTATTACGTTTAGGGCCTAATCCACATATGGGACATCTGGCTTGGGCTGATGCCTTTGTTATCACAGCTGATTCAGTTAGTATGTTGAGTGAGGCCTGCAGTACTGGGTATGTATGATCAATGTGGAATGTCCCTCTCACAATAATAATTAAAAATAAAAATGTTTTGTTTAATCATTACTTAAAATGAAATCCATAGTTTCATGACTTTATAACCACAGGAAGCCTGTATACGTAATTGGAGCAGAACTGTGTACTTGGAAGTTTGCTGACTTCCAAAATTCATTGCAGAAGCAAGGGGTTGCTCGACCATTCACTGGGAGGGAAAATGTGAGTTGCCAGCTGTGCTGCAATGTTCTGTATTTTTGTGTGTCTGAATTTTATGCCTTTTTCCCTTATAACTTGAAGAATAATATGAAAGTCTATATCTTGTGATTATATTGCAAAGCTGATTATGTAAAATGGTTTCTTTTTCCATGATTCAATTCCAAAATATGTACATAATAAACGTTAGAAGAACTTTACGAATTGCCTTATGACTTGCTGTAAATATTTTTGTGATCTGTTTTTAGATAGGAGCAGTCTCATCTTTGCTGCCAGACAATGTGTGCCTGTCTGGCAAGTAGTTGCTGCTGGTAGATGTTTTATTGAACAAATATTGCTTTTTACTTATTTGTGTTTGAAAATACAGATAACTGAAAGCTGGAGTTATCCTCCATTGAATGACACTTCAGAAGCTGCTAGCCAAGTGATTGCTGCTCTTGCTCGGCGAGGATGGACTATCCATGCATAATTGTTTCCTATGTCTCTCAAGATTCACATGGAACAGTTAGAATTCACAAATGATACGTGATTGAGGAGGAAATATTGTTCAAGAACTCTACTGGTTTGTGCTTAGTTTCAGAGTGCTTGCTATCTCTGTGGCCGCTTCCTTCTTCTGAAAAAGTCAATAGAAATAGAATTTTGTTGGTTGTATAGGTGGAGTGGTCAATGGGTGGCTTCACCACTTTTTGTAAGAGAACTTTGTTGTTTATCCCTCTCCCCAATAATTTTTGTAACTCTCCTTTTCCAACTTACTATTGTTGTGAGCTTTAGAAATTTTTTGGCTGCATAGCACTAAGGCATGCAAGACTGAATTACACATCTCAAATCATTTTTTTTTTCGTAATTTTTATTTTTGTCAGACGAAGACCTGTATAATAACTAAAAATGTGATAGTTTTGCTACACTTTGTGTCATGTAATTATTTCTTATTCTTATCCCTCCTTTATAATGAGATGTTAGCTCATGTTTCTGGAGTATGTGTAATGTGTTATTATATGGTATGGAAGGGTGCTGTGAATCAAATGTAAGTTATAACTTACTTTTGATGTAATTACTTATATTATATTATCACAGCAAATATCACAAGCTGTGAACCGAATATCAAACGTGCAATTACTTGTTAGATTCAAGAAAGAAAATGAAAATCAAAAGAAATATGCTTCAAAGAGAAGGAAAACGAGCAAAATAATTAGTTAGTCTATAGATATAATTTTTTCATTTGAATTTTTTTAAAGAATGTACTTGTCATCAACTATCGGTATAAAAAGATTTGCATGCTGTCAATCAATAAAATATTATTAGAAGTATATTTTGAGTTATTATAAAAGTTAATAAATTTATTTGTAATTAAATAAGAGTTAATCACCTATACACTGTCAGTATAAAGTTTTTTACATTAACAATTAATCATCGCTTTTAATAGTGTCATGTCATTTATTTATTTAATTTAATTAAAAAAAATATTACTGTTAAAAGATATAATTGATTGTCGGTGTAAAAAATTTTTATACTTATAATATATAGGTGATTAACTCATTAAATGTAGCGGAAAAAACTTTTACATTTGACTGCATACTATTTAGGTTATTCTACTTAAATCTTATCATGATACAATATTAGGCAGGTTTCCCTTTGTTAACGTGCATCCAACTCTACAATTAATTTTTTTCTCCACAAATCCTTTTCTCTCTCAATATTTCATCATTTGAATCCCATTGGTTTGATCTAAATTTAATGTACGATATATTTTTTTTGGTAGATACGTAAAATATGACTAAAATATATTTTTATTCCCTCAAGTATATTTTAGATTTTAATGTGATGTTAATTTTATGATATGCTTGTTCGAAGTTAATCTTATTAATCCTTCATGGAATTTCACATTGATGATTATCTACGTGAATCGAATAAATGCACAATAAAGTTAAAAAGAAAAATATAAAGCTATAACTCAATATCTTTATATATTAAAACAAAGCAGTTTGTGACTGTACTGAAAACAATTTTTACCACCCAATATAAAGGTATTATTTAAATTTAAAATGAAGTTAATTTATTTTTTTTCACATACTAAATTCATTATCCATTAATGACTATACTGAATTTTTATCTTAAAATCTATTACTGAATTAAAATTTATTTATCATATAAATTATATTTACAAAATTATAATCTCAGTTTGTTTAATACTTATTTGATATATATGAAAATTAATTGATATAATGTATTTTCTTTTTCAAAATAAAATGTTTGTAAAATATGTTTAAAAAAACAACTCTATTAATATATACTTATAGTTCCCCAATTTTGATAAAACTAAGCACAAACAAGCAAAGTGATCCACAATTATAATTAAATTGTTAAGTTGATAAAAAAAAATATTTAAAATAAAATTATTAATGATATAATAATTATTTATTACATTTTAATTAGAATTTATATTGCTTTTTTTTTCTTTCAATTATCACTCAATCATTGCATATTAAAATTATTAATTGGTGATAAATATTTTAAAATATATATATAAACAATTTTTAATTAGTTTACAATATAAAAGTATTACAAAATGAAATGATTGTCTTGAAAGAGAAATATCGTATATGCATCTATAACTATCTTTGATAAAAAAAAATTATTATTATTTATGATCGTGAATATTTCATATCAATATCTTAATTAAATATAAATATAAAAAAAAATAATACATGGACATTATATCAAAATTAAAGTAGTATTGAAATAAACAATAGTCTCCCAACAGCATTTCTATTTTTTATTTTTTTTGATTTTGGGTCGGAGTAGATTCAACAGTGAGGACAGGTTCTTTGCTTGGAGTGAGTGCGAGTCAAAATCTGGAGTGGGAGGGTTTGAGCGAAGAAATTGAAATGTCTCAGACGAAGAAACTGACGCCGAATCTGGATCAGCAGTCCACGAAGGTGCTGAATCTGACGGTGCTCCAGCGAATCGATCCATTCATCGACGAGATTCTATTCACCGCCGCGCATGTCTCTTTCTACGACTTCAACATCGAAAGCAACCAGTGGGTTCGTTCTTTCCCCCTTCTTTTCTTTCTCTTCACTTCTTCTCGCTTTCTTCTCTCATCTTCCACTTTCTCATTCCAGAGTCGTAAGGATGTTGAAGGATCTCTCTTCGTCGTCAAGAGGTGAACTCATCAACAACGCTGTCCCTTCCTTCTTTTCTCTCTCTCTCTCTCTCTATGTATATTCTGTCGCTTTCATTGATGCATTCATATTCGCCTGGATCGTTCATCAGTTTTCCCTTTCTTCTTCAGGAATTCACAACCGCGGTTTCAGTTTATCGTAATGAATCGACGAAATACAGGTTCAGATTTGTATTAAAATCGCATATTATTATTATTATTTTATTATTACTATTATTATTATTTATTTGTTTTATTATTATTACGGAAGAAAAAAAAAGGTTTAGGGGCTAGATTCAAGTTTTATGGAAGTGAACTAATTAATGTTGTAAGTAGCATATGCTTTTTTGGCAATGCTAAATTTATTGAGTTTTATTTTCATGTGCTATTCTTGTAAAGATCTTTATACTACCAACCAATAAAATGTTATGGTTAATGTAACTTTTAAGATTATCATAAAAGTAAATAAATTTATTATTTATCATAATATGACAATGTATGATAGGTTGATAATGTAAAATCTTTTTACGTGGTCTGTATATATAATATTTACTCATTTATTATTGTCACATTTCTGAACATGTGCTATCTATTATCTACTTAACAGCTTTCTTTCTGATGTTTGTTCTGACAGATAACCTAGTAGAGAATCTATTGGATTTTGAATATGAACTTAAAAATCCGTACCTATTATATCGGAATGCAGCTCAAGAAGTTAATGGTATTTGGTTTTACAATCCAGACGAATGTGAAGAAGTTGCAAATCTCTTTAACAGGTATTTATATTGTGTTTTTTAATATACACCATGAAATTGAGATGCAGGATGTTTATCTGCTACTGGTATGAATCTTTTTTATTTTCCAAATTCAATTTACAGGATACTTAACGCGTACCCAAAGGCACCTCCTACTACAATAATGCCTGCTAACAAAAGGTAATGATTTTTGTAAATTCTATAAAATATGAGGTTGTTTCAATTGCTATCTCCTTGAATCACAGTTATCGATCATTCTACTATTGTGGTGGAGTGTCATGGGCTCTGGCAACTATAAATTTCAGAATGTGGACTGTTTTTAAATTCACAACAACATAGTGCCAGAAATCTTGGCCATTCACAGAAGTTGCAGCTTTTACTTAGAACAAGGGTTCCCCCTCCCACCCAAGCAATTATAGATGTGTAGTAATAGTATATAGATTATAGATTATTTAACTTGAGTGGCCATTCTGTTATATTGATTTTCAGGTCAAATTGCTCTGCACCACTATGCTGTGTTGTCTATATGTTGTGGTTTCAAACAATATTGATTTTAATACTCTTATCTGTGAAGAAATTTGTGATTTCAAAATGTGAAAAAACTGTCTTCAATGAATTAATCAATGAGAAAGGTCAATATATATATAAAATATTACTTTTGCTTGGTTTTTCATGTCCATTGTGCTTGCTCAAAATTCAAACTATATTTTTTTTCTTATTCATGACTCCCACTTAATGATCTCTCTTAGTTGGATTTATAAGTAATAAATGTCACATGTCTTATGCTTGATGGTTTCATATACTGTAGTGAGTTTGAGGAACTTCAGCCAGTTTCAACTATACCGGAAAGCCCTCTAGAGTCATCTTCAGCTGCTTCTGCAACTGATGCTGTTGAAGATTCTGTATTTACAAACTTCTTCAGCGTATGTAATGTTGTTGCATGTCAATTTTCTCTGCTTTTTAGTCAATATCTCTGCAATATCTATGTTCAGTTTCACTTTTTATTATATGATGTCTGTGGCTTAAAAAAAATTTAATTCAACTGTTGCAGACATCGAACATTGCTGGAAAATATGCTTCCAATGTAGAAAATTTTAGACAGCATTCTGCAACTATCACTTCTACTGCTCCTAGCAGTTTATTGTCTCCTGCACCTACCATGCAAAAAATACCATCTGCCTCTCATTCAACTTCATCTATCTCTGGCTTCCCCCTTGACTCTCTTGAAACAATCAAGAGTGGCCATCAAGTCCTTAATCTTGTTAAGCCTTCTACTTTTTTGGCATCGACTTCATCTTCACTGTTAGTTCCACCTATTTCTTCATCTGTTCCCCCTAGTGCTGTTGTTCATCATTCACTGAATCTGCCACACCAATATGGCACTCCAGTACTTCAACCTTTCCCACCCTCTAATCCTCCTCTTTCTCTTACACCTCCTATTTCGAACTCTACTCCAGATAGACCTGTTGTCAGCAGGGATAAAGTTCGTGATGCGCTTTTATCGTTGGTTCAGGTACTTCACAATTTTGCCGTCTTTGTTAAGTTCTCTTATGTTTCTTGATAATTATTTATTTTATTTTATTTTTAAGTTGTCATTCAATTACTTTTAGTGCGGTTGGGTGGGTTAAAATAATGGGTAAATGGGGGAATAAGGGCTACTAGTTCCGGAACCTCATTGTGTGTTTATTGTTTAACATATGATTATAGAAGTTCTTCCCCACTGCGGAAATCCCAATTGAACCATAGCCACTGCCCAGGGGTTGCCAGTTCAAGAGAGGACTCTGAATTCTTTTACATCTAATTTAGTCTAGACACTACATTAGAGCCCAAATTTTATTCAGACAGTATAATAAGAGTCCCAATCAGGTCTTAAATTTTATTATGTGGAAAATATTATAGTTAATGAATTGGGTTGGCGGACTATGTGGGTTGGATTACGCAGGTTGAAGGGTTGAATTATCCAACCAGTTTTAGTGGGTTAAATAGGTTGACTCATTGGATTCAACCCACTTTAACATCCCCAGAAACACACTTCTATTTTTACGTAAGTGTGAACATAGTTTTTTAGTATGCAATTTAGAGTTTTCATGTTTTAATCACTTTTTTTGTATTTATGATTTCAATATAAATTGAATCTCTACTATAGAAGAGAATTGGAGTCACAAAATATAATATAGTTGGTGAAACGATGAATGAGTTCAATTCTTTTATATTCTTCGTTGAATGCTTGCTAAATTTTTATGCCTCCTTGTTAATTTTTTTATGTAGTTTCGTTACTAATGGAATTTTCCTGTGCCAGGATGATCAATTTATTGACATGATGTTCCAGGCATTACTGAAGGTGAATTATTGATGAGTAATCAAAACTCAAGGTTGGATGGAAACTGCATATAAAATTAGTTCTGTATATAGTAGTTACACACCGACACATCTAACAGGAGGTGTAACTTAGTATAGACATCCGTCCGTCTTTAGCTTTAGCCACAAGTTTGCATAATGCATCCATAATGGCCAATTCCACAATATACTAACAAATCATATGGTGCATTAATACACTTTATTACCTTCACCACTGAATTTGTGTGTACACGTGGACAAGTTATAATAAGAGAAAACAATGGTGAAAATATAGAATGCTTTTAATTGCTATGTTGATATAACGATTGCTCAACGTGTACACACAAAAAACTGATGGTGAAAGTACTGTGTATTGTTATACTGTGACTAGTGTATTGTAGAAATAGCCGTCTTTATCTGCACAATGATGAGTGCTTCGATGTCAATGTCGTGTTATCCCTTTGTTGTACTTGTGTTTTTAAATACAATCGTGGTTCTGTCGATTATGTCTATGCATAAAGTCGTGTAGTCTTTCTATCACTAATTAAGATGCATGTACAATTCCATGCTTAGCATGCACTTAGATTTAAATAAATAAATAAAGTTTTATAAGTCAATTTAGTCCTTAAATTTTCCAACTGTGAAAATCTGAAGTGGAAGTGATCCACCGGACCCATTGTTCTAATCTCCATTCATTATGAACTCGGGCAGGATTGCAGGAACCAATGTTATTTATGAGCAAGACAATTAGGCATAGAATTTAGCGCTAAATGGTTCAAACCCGACTCACAGATGAGGCTGCAATTTTTATGTAAATTTGAAATCAATACCATAAATTAATATATTTTTATGTGATATGTTAATATTTTGTATTAATGACTTATTTTAAAAATACCATAAAACATATCTTATAATTTATTTTTTAAAATTTAATTAATTAATTATAGATAACATTTATATTTTATTTGTATATGAATATGTTATAGATAACATTTAAATTCATTCAATCTAAATTGAAATTAATTTTCTTTGGTAAGATTTTTTTAAGAAATATAAAAGGAAGTTTAGGTTATGTAACTTAACATAACAGTAGTTTCAGTTATATGATCAGACATAAAAAATATATATATAAAAAAATATTAAATAAAAAAAGATGATAAAATAAATAAATAAAAAAGGAGGGGTAATCATGGGGAAAGGTGGAAAAATGGGTCTGGCTGACCCAGAATCCGCCTTCGCCTTCTAAATCTAGGCTTGGATTCTCCATTTTCAGCTTGAATTAGAAATGAGTTTTTTTTAGCCTTTTTTGATAAAGCTCACGTTATAATTAGACTTGGACATTATTCGTAAATATTGATGAGAGAAAATGAAATGTAAAGTTATTATTTTTGTCTTACCATGGTTAATTTATTGTGTTAAAGACTAGTTTTACTTGTGATATTGTGACTGTACTCCAAGTGTTTAAGAGACTAAAAATAATACATAGACTTCGCTATTTGATTAGCAGACTTAAAAATAATTACTAATTTACAGTGTCAAACTTTCCTTTAACATATACTTTGATATTTGATTTTTACAAAGATTACTTATTAAGTCATAATACATGATTGTACTTACACATGTTTAAGATGTTAGGAAAGTTGAAATTTTAATTTGTTTATATAAGCTGCTTAGAGTTACATTAAATAAACATATATATATATATATATATATATATATAGAAATGGTGGGCCTTTATCCCAGTCCATGAACGATGCATGTCGGCTGGATAGACCTCCTCCAAAAACAAAAAAGGGAAGTTAGAAAAAGATGGGCTACGACGGGCAAGCCCACCTTTGGGTTGGGGTATTATGAATATGAATATCAGAATATGGCGATGCAATGCACACTGGAAATGAATTCGATGGCGGCCGTAAGAAAAATAATGGAGGCCAATAAAAGCTTGTCGCCATCTCTTCTATCTTTTCGTCGGGGAATTGCTTACAAGCTTTTCGTTGGAGGTATCTATGCTCTCTCTTTCTCTACAAACCCAAATTCATTTTTATTCTTTTTGTTGCCGAAATCATATTAACTATTTACTTCATTGTATGGCCTTTTCGATACTCAGGCAACCACTTATTTATAACCTGATTTATAGAATCTTTCACTTTGCTTCTTCACCTGATTCTAAGTTATACATAAATTAAATAACTTACAAAGTTTGATTCATTTTGCTTTTATTTTTTATTTTTCATTTTTCTCTCCTGTTAGTATTTATCGAAAAATTTGTTCGTGTCTATTGGATTAACTGTTTACAGTTACACCTTTCGTGTAAAACAAAATTTGTACATGAAAATAGAAAAAATGGAAGAGCTTTATTTTTTATTTTCCTGAACTGAACATGCCTATGAATCAATATTAGGTAATTAGCCCATGAAAGGGGGTTATTTATCCATGGAGCTCTGTTCCTCATTGTTTTTTTCAGGACTGTCCTTCTACACCACAGAGAAAGCATTATCAGAGGCCTTCTCCAATTATGGCCAAGTTATTGAAGGTATCTTTAAAATGCTAAAATGCACCAACATTAATCCAATTTCACTGCGTCATCATCTCAATATAGGGTGTTTCTGTTTTTCAGCCAAAATTGTAACAGATAGGGTGTCAGACAGATCAAAGGGATTTGGGTTTGTGACCTTTGCTTCACAAGATGAGGCTGAGAATGCCATAGCAGAGATGAAAGGAAAGGTAGTTATTAAACTTGGGACTCTCCTCTTCTTTGTTGGGTTAGAACTTAGAAGTGAGGACTTAACAGAAACATTTTGCAGGCATTAAATGGACGTGTTATCTTTGTTGATTATGCAAAACCCAATACCAACACTGGTGGTGGAATGCCAATTGCAAGAGGACCTCCTGAACCAACACCAGATACTTGATTTTCCCGCATACCATATGATATAGTATAATGTTTAATGTACTTGACCAAGAGATGTGTTATAAAATAGTAACAATCTTTCTTTCATTAGCTCTTGCTCGGGTATGTATAAAACTTTTTTTTTTTTTTTTTCTGAGGAACATAGATGTTTTATTATGCACACAACGATTATAAGCATTGATAAGCACAAGTGATAACTGAAGAATTCATGATTATGTGATTATTAGCACTTAGCAGCGTATAAACTGTCTTACTGGTTGTTTACACAGACAGGACTGAGTTATGACAGAATTAAAGGGTGGCTTGATCACGCCACTTCGTTTTCGTAAAAAGCCAAAAATTCTGACTCCACTATTTTTTTTATTTATAAATTATCTGTGTGTTAAAAAGTATTGTACCATTAAAAAACACTTCTAAGAAAAACATCGGTGTAATATAAAGTACATAACGATTATTATTGATATACAAATTACTTTTGAAAAAAAAAATGTATGTAATATGGAGCCTGTATATTCCAATTATAAGAAACTGGCTGTTTTACTACAATGACATTAACTACAATTTTTATTGATTGAAAATTTGTAATGCAATCTTAAATATATTTCTTATGAGAAGGAAAATAATTTTTGGTTAATCAAGTGTTTTTTTTGGTTAGTATGGAACACTTAACCCGAAAGATACCTTGTGTATGTATAAAATTTAAATACAATACAGCCTTTTAATATGATAGAACTAAAATGTATGGTGATTAATTATATAATATTAAATATTATTTACTATCTCTGTACCTTTATAATTGTCGTTTAAGATTATAATAATTTTTCTTAATTTCGAGTGATTTTAATATTTTTTATTATATCTTCTTTTTTTATTGTTTCATAATAAATGTATATTAATTTAATTGTCATATAAAAAAAAATTAATTAAAAGTTAGGTGAAGTGTGAGAATATAATTAATAATATAACAATTAATATTATCTTAAAATTTGAAAATGATAATTAAATAAATATAAAATTTTATTAAAAATCTAACAAATATAAAGAAATGAAGGAAGTAATTATTATGGAACACTTAACACCCTTTAATATAATAGAACTAAAAAGTAAGGTGATTGAGTATATAATATTAAATACTATTTAATTTTTATGGAACACTTAGTTGAAAAAAAAAATTCAACTTTAATATGCCCTTTTTAATACAGTAAAACTAAAATGTACGGTGATTAATTATATAATATTAAATTCTATTTAATTACGTTAAAATAATATAAAAAAACACGGTGATTGATTATAATTGTATAAAAGCCACATGCATGTAGTCCGCCGTCTGTGGGGATCGAACCCACGACCACGTGGTTAAAAGCCACGCGCTCTACCGCTGAGCTAAGACGGCTACTTATTAAAGATTTGAAACAATTAGATACATATAATGATTTCATGATCGGAAATGGACAGATGGCAGAGTGTTTAATTTGGTTATATAATAAATAATAAAATACTCTTAATAAAAGTACGACAATATTTTTTTGTCTAATTTTTACGTTTTTTAAGACTTTCAATTTTTTTTTTATTTTTTATTCTTGATTGTTTATATTCCTGAAATGGTTTTTCTTTGCTATGACGTAACTTATTTTTTCAAATGTCATCTGTTTTATGTTTTCAATTTTTTTATTTAATAATAAATCAAAAGTAATTCATCTTAATTATGACTGGATAGCTACACGTTATCACATTTACATAATGTATTCTGTGCCAAATATAAGAAAGCAGGCCTTACTGTATACTTTTATAAAAGTGATTTTAAAATTTAAAAATATAGAAAAACTAAAAATAGGAAATTGAGAATGTTAATGCTTTTCCATAAATGATAGTTAATCACTAAGATCAATATAATTGTGAAGAGTTAAAATAATATTTGTAAAATACTATATTTAAATTTTATTATCGTCATTTTGATTCTGATCGATAAAATATAACAAAAGATAGTTAAAAATGTTATAGAAATTAAGGACACATTGAGCAGTAGTATGTAAAGATGGTATATTAATTTTTCCAAAGAAAATGGAATATAAAACTATGGTATAATTAAGGTTCGTGCTAGCTTGCTTAAGTAATAAATAATTCTCTCGTAAGCATGCATTCAGAAAGTCAAAATACATCAGAGAATTTGAAGGCCTTAAAATTAAATATTGTAATCATATGCTAGCAATATCTAACTTATTATACGATACTCATAACAAACTATGAAAGATCATATTGTCGATGAACGAAATCTTTATATCTGTTTATTTGGGCACAAGGTTCAATCAAATCAACGATCTAAAACACACACATATCAATCTGACCAAGCTCATGCAACAAGATACGACCCTTCTTAGCAATAATATATGTATATACTAGATATAATCTTCATATGTAGATCATCATTCTAATTCACATGCTATTATTATATGATGTATATGATACTAAATATCAAATGAATAGATATGTCATGTTACGCACCAGCAACATAGAAAAGATCAATTCAAAATTATGTTGGTGTGTTATAGTATATATCATACTCTCTAATATATTTTTTAATACACATTTTTATTGATTATAATTTATTGAAAACAATAAAATAATATATAAAAAAGTCACTAAAAAAGTGTAAAATCAATCAAATTTGTTATTTTCTAATAAATGTAAATCAATCAGAAAAAATATGTTTAAAAAAGAGTGTATGTTACTAATATTTTTTCTCTTAGTATAAGTTAAAATCATTTTATTATTTCTTTATATACAGAAATGATCATTATTTTAAAACAAGTTTTACATATGAGCTGACTAAGTTTTTATCAAATACCCCGCCACATGCCATACCATTCAACACACAGACAAGTTAGTAAAGTATTGTTAAAAATAAGTATTGTTCAAACCTAATTTTCCAGCGTTGACTATTGTAGACACACCATTCATTACATGTGGGAACGGAGGCAGGCTTATTGAGTTGAGACAATTACATTAAATACATTTCAAATCATCAAATTTTCATATATTTTAAAAAATATTTCATAGTTCATCAATCAATTGTAATGACACTTTACTCTCAAATTAAAAAAATATAATTTGCAAGTGTTCTGGTATTGGAGTATTGGAGATCACCGCCGAAGAACCCTTAGCGATACCGAGCTAAAAGAACTTGACAGCAATCTTGACCTAGAACATTTGATAAGAGTAACCTGCCCTCTTAGACCTAATCATTACTATATATAATGGTGTAGCGTTACAGACATGAATCGCACACTCCTCTTTATGATCCCATAAATCACGCCTCATTATGGACTCGTAACTCCCGGTATTTATTATCGTTCCCACGGATTGTGGGATTTTATTGATTGTCTGAGTGAGCCAGTGAATCTTCCCATATTTGGGTCCCTATTATGGGCTCGTCATTTTG